AGAGAGAGAGAGAGAGGGAGAGAGGGGGGGAGGGAGAGGGAGAGAGAGACATGAAGGCAAATGTTCGCCTGTCTCCACCAGCCAAGGGTAGTTAATATATCTAAGTTTGGTATTGGGTTGGGTTACACTTCTGATTTTATGGGCATCTTGTTATTGAGCATTACCAAACTTATAAAGCCTTTGATTAACATTTTTTAAAGTTACTAATAAAAAAAAAGAAAAAAAAGACAGAGTCTCAGTATCCCACATTGTAGCCAATGCTGACCTAGAATTTGATAAATAGCTCAAGTTGGTCTTAGACTCATGGCAATCCTTCTGCCTCAGACTCCTGAGAGCTGGGATTGTAGGTATTAACTCATTTTACTAAGTGAACATCTCATGTATTTCAGGCAGGCCTCAAAACTCGATTTTAGTCAAAGATGACCTTGGACTTCTGATCCTTCTGCCTCTATCTCTTGAGTATTGAGATTATATGCATGCATCATAAGATTGTTTGTGTGTGTGTCTGTGTCTGTGTGTGTGTGTGTGTGTGTGTGTCTGTGTGTGTGTGTTTAGAGAAAGGGTCCCACTATGTAGCCTTTGTTGTCCTGGAACTCACTGTGCAGACCATTCTGGTCTCCAACTCTGCCTCTGCCTCCCCAGTGCTGGACTAAAGGCGTGTGCTGTAATGTTTTTTTAAGACAGAAATATCCAATTTCTCTCAAGAACGGCTGAGATGAGGCTGAGGCAGCAGTACATGAAACTGCGCAGTTCCTCGAAAGCTCACAGGTAGCAATGAGGCCAGAGCCATCTTGGGGGCTGAAAGAGCCAGATGTTTCCATCCTTTTGCTTTAACTTGCTTTTCTTTATAGAGTAGCCCTTGTCCATTTTCTCTCTTTGGGCAATACAGGGATTATCTGCAGGCTTAGGTTTTAAGGAGAACTTGCTAGATTTACAACATAGCCTCTGGAAAATTCCTCGGGTCAGGTGACAGGGTTGACATGGCAAAGCAAGTGGCAGGACCTTCTGGGTTCCCAAGGAACCAAGGATCCTGGCTTTCACCTGCTCTCTTCAATTAGTGTGGCCATTGTCTCCTTGGGGCTCAGTTAGGGATCGCAGTAGATTGCTTACTTGGAGGTATTTGATTTGTTCGTTTATCTCAGGCCTATCTGATCCCTTTACTTCTAGGTTTCCAATCCATAATAAGTAGGTACGAGGCTGCTTGGATTCCTGGACTCAACAGGGACCTCCAGGCTCTGTAAGAGTTGAGCAGACACAGTTGCCCGGGATAAGCTTAGAGATGGTCAAATGTTTGTCTTTGATTTTTATCAATGAATGATTGTACCTTCTGTCCAAATAACTGTGGAAAGTTGTGAGATGGTTAGAAATGAGCAAGCAACTGAGCAAGCAACTGTAGTCGCAACAGACTTCATCCCATCAAATGAAAATAAATCCTCCTCTAAAAAAAAAAAAAGAAAAAAGAAAAAAAAAAGGAGCCAGGCATGGTGGTGCCTTTAATCCCAGCACTCTGGAGGTAGAGGCAGACAGATCTCTTTGACCTGGAGACCAGAATGGTCCACATTGTGAGTTCTAGGATAGACAGGGCTATGAAGAGAAACCCTATCTAATATAATAAATAAACAAATATACAAATGAAACAAGAAAGAGAAAAGGAGAAAGGGGGGAGGAGCTGGTGAGCAGCTGTGGGCACACTCTGCTTTTCCAGGAGCCCTGAGTTCCATCCCCAGCACCCCATTCAGACAGCTCACAACCACCTGTAACTACAGATCCAGGCAATCCCAGGATTTCAATGGCCTCCTCGGGCATCAGTACACATCTACACAGACAGATAGACACATGGTTAAAATACATCTTTATTTTTAATGAAAGAAAAGGTGTGGGACTGTGTCACTCACATATTAACTAGTTTTCAGTGCAACTTCGATTTTCTGAACGCATCCCTGTTACATCTAAGATCTTGTTTCTACTTATAAAAGATATACAACCAATTCTGCCTTCCTTTACCATTAAGGAAAGCGGGAGGGTTGGAGAAGAGACCTGCCCTGGGTCCTGGTCTAACTCCCAGTTTAGCTCTCTTATTTCCCTTCTGTGCACCACTCACTGATGGAGGGCCACCGCCGACAGGTGCTTTAGCCCTCTGTTTCAGGGCCCCGGATTCTCAGTTTCCAGAGACCAGATCCGAAGCACAGGGTTGGGGCGGGTTGGGGGCGGGGAAGGGAGTAGGGGGAAGGCAGCTCCATTCATCAGCAATACCCAGGATCTTAAAAGAGTGATGTGAGGTGAGGGTACAATGAAGATAGACTGTAAAATGTTAGACTGTAAAGTCTCTCCCGTTGTAAGGAGACGACTCCTAACCCCCATCAGACTTGCTGGGCGATCCTCCGGCTGCCTCTCCCCCAGCCTCTTGCTCCGGCCCTCGCGGCCCTCCTCCGAGACCCCCGGCACATCCTAGCCACGGAGGTCGGACTCTGCCCCCGCCCCGCCTTCCCCCTCCCCCCGGGGGCGGTGGCCCATGGCGGGTGCTCTCATTGGCTAAGGCGCAAGCAAGGGCCAGAGGCAGTGGTGCTGATTGGCCAGGGCGGCTCGGCGAAGCTTGGGAGCCTGGCGAGTCGCTGGGGGAAGCTGAGCAGACGCCAGGGGCAGCCGGGAGCGTCGGAAGGTGATCGCGCCAGTCGAACCCGCGGATCGCAGCCTGTAGATCGCGGCCCGGGCCTGGAGGTAAGTGCGACGCGTCTGGACGCGCTTGGCCGGCCCTTCTGAAGGAAGCCCTGCACCCAGGAAACCAGAGTCGGGCATCTTTCTCTAGAATCTGGGCCCTCCATCCAACCAGGACGAGGGCTCCTGCTCCGAAAGGAAAGGGTCTCCCACTTCCCAGGCCCCAGAAAGAAAAACAGCTTCGTGTAACCTTCAGAAATGGGCTGTCCGTCCTGGCCGCTGGCTGGAGGGGGAAACCCCTCCCTTGTTTAGTCCTTGGAATAGAATGCCCCCCCCCAGTCCCCAAAGTGGAGTCCTGCCTCCGCAAATATCTTGACCCTCTCCTATCATCTCCCTTTCCTAAAAAAAAAAAAAAAGAAGAAGAAGAAAAAAAAAATCTAAGTTAGGGTCTCTTGCTTCTCTCTCATTTCTGTCTCCTTAGAATGTTGAGGTCACAGCTTGTATTGAAGGGTCCTATCCCTCTCTGACTGTGAAACTCCTGGAGAGTAAGACCCTCGCTTCAACAAGGACATCCCAGGCCAAATCACCTGCATGCCCATTCCAGAAACTAGGTTCTGGATTCTGGGGACAGATGACTTCTCTTCTATCCCTATGAAGACCCTTTCCCACCCATAGGAGAGGCCATACCCCCCCCCCAAAAAAAAGAGGCTTTGAGGGGCCTCCCCTTCCCACGCCTAGAGCTGCTTTCAGGAGCCTCCAAACTCTAAGAACACAGATGGCCTTGGCACTGCAGGACCAGCAGGCACCCCCTTTCATCCCCACCTCCAACACAAATATAAAAGGCACAAATATTCAGTGTTACCCTACAGATGCAGGTCTCTCTCCTCCTGGACAAAGGGCTATCAACATAGAGACGAGCTGTTGGCCCACTTCCAAGGGTCCCCTGTTTTTCCTTGGATCTGCCCCCATCAACTCCTATGGCTATTGCCCGATGGAATTCCCTGGGCATTAGGCCAAGAGAAGGACGCTGCTGGGCTTGTCCACTGGTCTGGAGACACTGTTGCCTTAGCTGTGTGCCTCCTTCACACTAGCCTGAGGAGGCTTGGTGGGGGCAGGTCAGGAGACAGGAAAGCAATGAATCTTGGCCGGTTCTCTGGATTTGGGATCTGGGATGTGGGATGGGGAGAGATGTGTTTCCTGGAGGCCAGAGGACAGCTCTGGGAGAGACAAATGACCCCGTCTGTAATCCTATGATATAAAAGAACACCTATGTTAAGACTGACCATTTGTTTGGTACTTGAACAAACTGAGGCACAAAGAGAGAAAGGGACTGACTGGCTCAAGGTCACCCAGCCAGTCACTGACAAAACCAGCATAGGTCCTATAGGGTCACTGGGGCTCCCCAACATTAGCTCCAATCCTCAAGTGTACAGTGGGCACTTCTGGGCACCGTGTCCACTCATCACAGGACACAGTAACACTGAGAAAGTCAGCCCAGGAGGAGCAGAGCTTGTAGAATGTCTGCCGACACTCCACAGGCGCTGGTGGAACCCATTCCTGGGGGCTTAAGGTTTCTGTCTTGTACCTACTGCCATGCAAAGCTTGCCAAAATCCAAATCAATTCAGTATAATGGGTGTTTTCAGTTACAATATGCTAGCGCCAAGACTACTGTGAGGACCTCAGCTGCATGACTGTGTTTGCTCTGGGAACGGGTGCCTGAGGAAGGTGCACTCCTTCCCTTTCTGCCTCTGCTCATTCTCTCTGGCTCCCATTCTCTGCAGCAATTGCTTGTCCTGTTCAGAGCCTGCACCCTTTCCTGGCACATGGGTGATTTTCTGGGACCATTTAGTGATCACCAAGCAGTGGTGACCAGACCTGGGGTACCAACTCTCTTTACTCCTTCCTCTGTCCTCTCAGCTGGAGGGTAGCTGTCCTACATCAAGGGAGAGCCAAGAGCTGAGTTCAAGGTGAAAATGTAGAGAATAGGGTTTCCATCTGTTTCTTGGCGTATGATCTTGGGAAGATTTTCCTTCCTTCCTTCCTCCCTCCCTCCCTCCCTCCCTCCCTCCCTCCCTCCCTCCCTTCCTTCCTTCCTTTCTTTCTTTCCTTTATTTCTTTTATGGCAGTCGCACATAGGACAGGCTAGCCTCTACCTCACTGCGTAGTGGAAGATGACCTTGAACTTCTGATCCTTCTGCCTTCACCCCCTGAATGCTGGGATTGTGGGAGTTTACATCATCACAGGCAGCTTCCATGCAAGGCTGAGGCCAGGGCAAAGGGCTTGCACTCTACTCTCGGAGCTCTATCCTCTGACCTTTGGGAAAGTCCTCTCTCTGTTAGTTATCCTCAAAGTATATAGCACAGCTAATAAGTAGAAATTGTAGTCACAATTTCTACTACAAAGTCAAGCCAGGAAGTGGTGGCACGAACCTGTAATCTCAGGTAGATCTCTGTGAGTTGAGGCCAGCCTGGTCTATAGAACAAGTTCCAGGATAGCCAGAGCTACACAGAGAAAGCCAGTAATACTACTTCAGCTGATAGAAAAGAAAATATCTTCCTGTCTGGAAACCACCCCCTCCAAAAAGTCAGCTGCAATGGGTAGTGTATCAGCAGTGCCTCTGAGTGTGCCCAGGATCCTTAGTGGCAGACAGTCCACCAGGACAAGGGCAACAGACCAATCCCAGCCATGGGAGAAAAGCGAGCATTTCAGGCAAGCAGAGCAGTGTGTGCAACAGACCACAGACCTTAAACCCAGTTGGAACCTAGGGCCAGCCATCATTGGCTACTTCTGCCTGGAGCAACATGCACAATCATTGACTTCTCTGAGCCTCCGTTTCTTCTCTCTAGCCTGGAGGGTGGGCATCAGTAGGGGTGGGCATATCAGGTAAGGGGTAGCTTGCATTGAGGTTTCTTATTCTTAAACCCACTGGCACTGTGAGTTGGGTGATTCTCAGCTGTGAGTTTTATCATCTTCATTGCGTTTTACACACTTGATGCCAGTAATACTACTTCAGCTGATAGAAAAGAAAATATCTCCTGTTAGGATAGAGAGATGGATCTGTGGGTATAATGTCTGGTGTGTGAGCATGAGTTCGGATCCCCAGCACCCACCTGAAAACCAGGCTACACAGCTGGGGAATGGAGACAGGTAGAGCCCTAGCGAGCCAGTCTTGCCAAAAGAAGGAGCTCCAGGTTCAGTGAGAGACCCTGTCACGAAGAATAAGGTGAATAGCAGTGAGACCTCTGGCCTCCACCTCACACACACACACACACACACACACACACACACACACACCACCACCACATACCACACAGACACACACACCACACACTTACACCACACATATACCACACACATACCACATACACACACACACCATACACCATACATACACACAGCACAGACACACCACACACACACCACATACACACCACACATACACACACACCACATATACAACACACACATACACCACATACTACACACATACCACAAGGATATACATACACATACCACACACACACCACACATATATCACACACATACATACACACCACACACACACACAATCTCCATATGACTCAGAGGTCTGGTAGAGAATAAGCTCTTCCTCCTCTCCTTCCTCATTGGGAACAGCTGGCCTAGTGTGGCTTCAGACATGGCTGGTGTGTGAGCTAAGCCCCCACTCTGCTGCAGCAGCTCCTCACTGCAGTTCCTCCCTGATGGGTGGGTGGGGAGAGCTCTGCAGGTAAGCCTTCCAACACCGATGTCCCTTTAGTCTCTGTCCTCCTGAGAACTCCATTCACCATTAGGATTCCCATTTTACAGACCATGGAGGTGAGAAGTCTGGTCTGAGTACATCTCACCTTTCCTCACAGAAGCCAAAGAGATGCTCAAGGAGAAGGCACTTGAGATTGATTACTTCTCTACATGGGAAGGGGTTTGTACACACCACAATGTGCATGCCGAGGTCAGAGTAAAACTCTTTAAGGCTTGGTTCTTTCCTAATTGGTGGGTCCCCAGGGTGGAACTCAGGCCTTGCTCTGGGAAGCAAGTGCCTTCCCTGCTTGCTGAGCCCCAAGTGAAATTTTAGAGACCATCTTGTTCGAGAGGCCTTCTCAGAAGGATGTGAGGCTCTCATACAATTTAAGCTCCATGGAGACCCAGCATCAGGGAATCTGCTCCAGCAGTTCTCCACATGTATGCAGATGACTGAGGAGTACCCACTTGTCATCCCAGTGTGGGAAGGGGCAGCATCCTGGTATGCTCCACTGGAGAAAGGAAGTGGCTTTTTAGAATAAGATTTAGGCCCTGAGCCTGGAAAGGTCTCAGAGACATATAATTTAGTGAAATACAGACACTGGAACAGTATGGAGAGGATTGTCTTATTTCAAAAACATAATTCAAATACACAAGAAAATGGGCAGTTAGGGACCAGTGAGATGACTGAGTGGGTGGAGAGACTCCTCACCAATGGCCTGAGTTCCATCCCCAGGGCCTACAGGGTGAAAGAAACAACTCCTAAAACCTGGTCCTCCGTCTTCCACGAAAATACCATGACGTGTACACACAGATAGATGTATTTAAAATTTTTAAGAAGATGAATCACCTTTTTAGCACTTCAGACGGCTCCTCAGTCTTATAGAAAGAAAAAATGATAGTTAAAAGGACGTCCTGAGAGGGAGGACAGCCCCGTTCGTTCACATTTGTTCAGGAAGCAAGAGGAGCAGCCCAGCCAGGGGCTCCTGCTCGAGCAAAGCAAAGCCCATCCTTTGTGTGTCCTACTTGATACATACCTGAATTTGCCAATGGCAGAGGCTCAGATCTTCTGAGCTTCCAGAGGCTTCTGGGACTGAGAGACAGGAATGAGAGCTATCGTCTGTACTGGCTGAGGGTGTGGAGATGTATCTTGGAGTTACAGAAACCTGTGACCTGTCACGTGGGTATCAGCCACTTTGATCTCTCAGATCCTCGTTACCCATAAGTCTTTGTGTGAGGTGTTAGTAAGAACTGCTAATAAACAGCATTGGGGGGACAATAGCAGTGACCTGACTTGGTTAG